CGGGGGTGCTCCTGCACTCGGCAGTGACGTCTTGGAGGACCGCCAGTACGAGCTTGCTTTCCTGTCCGAGGCTGCTCCCCATCTCTATTCCATGCTGTTAGTCCCTAAGGGTGACCCAGACGCTTTCGACATCCCGACCCCTCGCACTTACGCTGAGGCGGTCTCGGGACCTTTGGCCTCTCAGTGGATAGCTGCCATGGAGCAGGAGATGGCATCTTAGAGATCCACCCGCACCTACGTCGATGCAGTTCCTCCACCTGGGATGAACATAGTCAATGGCCGCTGGCTCTTTAATGTGAAGCGCCCTCCTGGAGAGCCGCCTGTGTTCAAGGCGCGCTACGTGGCTAGAGGATTTAGTCAGCGTGAGGGGGTGGACTTCTTTCAGACTTTCGCCCCGATGCCAAAGATGACTACTCTTTGGGCACTGCTACACGTACCAGCACAGCGTGACTACGAGTTACACTCCCTCGAGTTCTCCACTGCATTTCTTCAGGGCAGTCTACATGAGCAGGTCTACCTGCGTCGCCCTCAGGGTTTCACTGGTACCTTCCCTCCTGGGACCCAGTAGCTTCTGCGGTGCCCAGTCTATGGCTTGCGTCAGGCTCCCCGTGAGTGGCACGACACGCTACGTGCTACTCTTGCAGACCTGCAGTTCTTTCCGCAGACCTCTCGCTCTTTGTTCGTTCTGGCCAGACTCCGTTCTACATCCTTGTTTAAGTAGACGATCGGGTCTTTGCCACTGCAGACACCACCGCGCTGGCCTTTGTAAAGGCTGAGCTGCTGAGGAGACACACCTGCACTGACCTAGGAGAGCTGCGCCACTACCTGGGCATGCAGATCTCCAGAGACAGAGCAGCGCGCACCATCACTCTCACCCAGTCCCACTTGGTGCGCCAGGTCCTTCAGAGGTTCGGTCTTCAGTTCTCCTCCGCACTGCCCACACCTCTTCTAGTAGATCACAGGCTCTCTGCTCTAGTTCTTGAGGAGTCAGCAGAGCACAGTGGTCCTTACGCTGAGCTGGTGGGTTGCCTCATGTACCTGATGACTTGCACTCGTCCAGATCTTGCATACCCTCTCAGCATCCTGGCTCGCTTTGTGGCCACAGGCAGACACAGACCTCAGCACTGGTCTACAGCTAAGAGGGTTTTGCGTTATCTCCCGAGTACATCAGGCATGGGGTTAGTGTTGGGAGGACGCAGGCCGGTGGTCCTTACTGGGCACACAGACGCTTCTTGGGCAGACGACGCAGAGACCCTTAGGCCCTCGTAGGTCTACTGCTTTAGCCCTTGTTCAGGTGCTGTCTCGTGGAGAGCTACTCGCTCCTCGTCTGTTGCCCAGTCCAGCTGTGAGGCCGAGATCAACGCCGGTGCCATGGCGGCACAGGAGCTCCGCTGGCTGACCTTCCTGCTCACTGACTTAGGTGAGAGGCCTAGCTCTGCGCCAGTCCTGTACGCTGACAACAGGGCCATGATCCTCCTGTGCCACGAGCCTCGACTTGAGGGCAGAGCAAAGCATATCCAGTTGCGGTACTTCCTCATGCGCGAGCTGCAGCAGCGTTGCCAGGCTCGCGTAGTACACTTGACCTCCAGTGCCAACACAACTGATATCTTTACGAAGGCCCTTGCGCCTAAAGATCATCAGCGGCACTCTGTACAGCTAGGCCTTGTTCCTGTTACCTCTCACCTGCTAGGGCCTTGCCTATGTACTGACCTTTATATAATACTTTTGTTTATTCTTGACTGGCCTTGTGGCTTCTCCCAGTGGCTGGACGAGTAGTGCCGCCCTGGCCCTGCCCTTGTACTAGTCTGTACAACTCGTCTAGGCGGCACTACTAGTCTGTACGACTAGTCAAACAAGTACAGACTAGTCGTCAAGGGTCTGTACTTGTTTGACTAGTCTTTAGACCCTTGACTCAGAGGTTGGACTAGTAGTGCCGCCCTGAGTTGCCGTTTTTCTCATCAGGAACTGGACCTATGCAGTCTAGGGGTTGTGTCAAACGTATATATACAGCGACGGAATTAATTGGGCTAGAAAAGGTACACTAGTCAAAAGATTTTGTATTTTCAGCATGTGTCGTGTACATTTATCCCCAAGTACCCATTGTACCATGTGACTTAGGAGTGAAGCATCCTTATGCTGTATGGTATTGTACGTTTTATCGAACTACTTATAGTGAGTCCACCACTTTGCTAGCGAGACTCGATGCGGACAATTAGCTCCCGATTCGAGTCTAGGTCTATTTCTCACGGCATTTCGTGATCTCGCAAACCTAACCTCCTAGTCTTTATCGACGGCATAACGTGAACCCCGCCAGGCTCATAGCAATGATGCGGCCTCTTGCTTCGCGCCAGAAAGATAGGATCGCGACCTTGCTTCGACGCGGTCATAGCTTCCGTCAGATTGCTAGAATGCTAGGGATCGGGAAGAGCACAGTTCAGAAATACGCTCAAGAGGCCTCTCAGCGCACCAGCAGCCTAGCGGTTAGGCCAACAGTCCCGAGGTCTCGTCGAACGCGCCTGCTCTCAGTACGTGACAGGCGCATCCTTGTTCGCGCTGTGACTTCAGGCGAGGTGAAGACTAGCATAGAAGCCGCAAAGCTACTGGAAACAGACCACGGCATTTAGATCTGCCCAAGAGCAGTCCGCAACGCCCTCAAACTGTCTGGCCTAGTCGCCGTCCAGCAACCGAAGAAGCCACGTCTCTCCGCGTGTTACATCAGAGACAGACTGGATTTCGCCAAGGCCCACGTTGACTGGACCGTGGACGACTGGAAGCGGGTGGTCTGGTCTGATGAGACCAAGATCAACCGTTTCTGTAGTGACGGCCGGTCGTATGCATGGATTCGCGACGGGGCAGCTCTTCAAGGGCAACACATAAAACAAACAGTAAAGCATGGGGGTGGGTCAGTCATGATATGGGGGTGTATGACGTATGATGGCCCTGGATACATGTGTAAAATCGACGGTCGTATGGACGGGCAGCTGTATCGAAGCATCTTGCAGGATGAGCTTGCACAAACCATTGAGTTTTATGACCTTAATACCTGTGATGTCATTTTCCAGCATGACAATGACCCCAAGCACAAGTCCCGCCTTATGCAGGAGTGGTTGTCCGAGCAGGAATATTCAGTCCTGCTGTGGCCCTCTTCATCCCCAGATCTCAACCCCATCGAGCACTTGTGGGCCCATCTCAAACGCGAGCTGTCCAAGTATCAGCACCCCCCCTCAGGAATGCTCCAGACTTGGGAGCGGATTCAAGAGATCTGGGAGGGGATAGATGCTGATGTGTGGAGGGGGCTCATTGATAGTATGCCTAGGAGGGTGAAGGCGGTGGTTAGGGCTAAGGGAAAATGGACTAGGTACTAATTTCAAGTGTGTCTTTTGCATAGTTTGAACATGGCACAAACTGTCCGAGTGTACTTGTGTGTGTATGGATTTTGCCTAGGCACATTATACTGTATTTTCAGGGCTGGTTCCCACATGACACTCGTGTATAGGCATATGTCTAACTCTTCCTTAAAACCTGGCAATTAATAAGCTGCATCTCTAAACACTACACACGATTATTCGCCTACAGAGGCTGAGATATGGACAATTTCTTCCGTCGCTGTATTTAGAAATACTTGTGCAAATAGCCTCAAGGGCCTTGCCTCATAATCTGATCTCAAAGTGGTTGCAAGTTGTCAATACATACAAGCATTCCACTAGTTCCAATGAGATACAAAGCACACAAGAGTATACTGATTTATAGGCAAACAAGAAAGAACAAACGCGGTTCGTAACTGCCGTGTGCGCTGCGAGTAACTCGCGCGCTTCGTGTCATGCCGAGTCGCACACGCAATCGCGACTTTCTTGCTGAACACGCCACTGGCCCGAAGTCCGAATGCGTGTTGAACACGCCCCGTCCGAAACCCAACTTTTGCCCCACGTCAATCTGTTTCTCGCCACTTCCATTCCTTTCTTCCACTCAACCACCATTCTCCTTACTTTCCACCAATCTTTTCTCAACCTTCTCTACAGCTCCTCCCCTTTCCGTACACCTCACGCTCACGCAATATTCCCCATTTCCTAGTTCCTTCTCGTCCCAAGTCCGCACGTCTCTCCTCGTCACCCCAAGTCACGAGTAGTCCGTCGTGGGTGGCGGAACCACTCCAACACCAGGGCTACCGGGACTAGCACGCACTCCAATACCAGCACCCCCAGAGTCAACGAACGGGTGCTGCGACGGCGGCGGCAACAGCGACAACGACGGCTGCGGCGGAGGTGGCAACGGCTGCGACAGCAGGGGCGACGGCGGCGGCACAGGCGGTGGAGGAGGGGACGCCTGGGGAGGGGCAGCCGGCGAGGACTGCGCCGCAGGACCACCAGAGTCAGAAGACTCCTCAACCGGGACCACCGACGGAAGAGGGGTGACGTGGGACACACCAGAGGGGGCAGGACGAGGAGAAGGAGGGGGGGGGGGGGCAGGGGACCACCGGGGAAGGAGTGACCAGGAACAGGGGGGGGTAACCGGGGGACCGCGGTGGGGGAAGCGACAGTAGAAGGAGGCGGACTCGTCAAAGGTGATGTCGCGAGAGTGAAAGAAGCGGTGAGACGGCGGGGGATAGAAGTGCCAGTCGGATGCGTCAAGGGGAAAACCGAGGAAGACGCAGTGAGCAGTGAGCTTGTCCGTGCCGGAGGCACGGACGTGAGCAAGGCAGCCCCAGACGTGGAACGCAGACGCGTCACCAGGAGACCCAGTCCAAAGACGGGTCGGCGAAACCTGCGGCTGCTGGGGGGTGCAAGCCACAGGTTAAGCTGGTGCGAAGCGTAGCGCACGGCGAACGGCCACAGAAAATGGGGTGCACCGGCATGGATCATGGAGGTGCGAGCCACCTCCATGACCAAACCGATGCGTCGCTCAGCGACCCCATTCTGCTGTGGGGAGTCCGGTAGGGTGAACGTCTGGGTGATGCCTCCGCACGACAAAAAGCGACCAAGGACACCTGAGGCAAACTCGCCACCACGGTCGGAGTGAAGACGCAAGACAGGGAGACCTTTGGTGGACACGGGCAGAGACAAGCCAGGGGATGAGAGCGTCAGGCATGTGGGCCTTCCGCTCCAGGGGAAAGACCGAGGTGTAGCGAGTGAAGTCGTCGACAAGCACTAGGAAGTAGCGCTCTCGACGCGGCCCATGGACGGGGGCGGGGCCCCAGACGTCCATGTGCAGGTCTGCAGTGGCGCGGCGGTAGGGGGAAACGAGGAGGAGTGAGGGGCACGGCGAAGCCGACCCTCGACGCAAGGCGTGCAAGGTGGGGCTGGGGAGGAGGGAAACGCGGGGAGAGAACCAGGGAGACCAAGGACGAGACCGTGCTGGGACATGTGACGCAGACGTGGGAGCGCAGGGTGACCTAGGCGGTGGTGCCAAAGGAGAGTCGGGTGAGTGATGGACCGACAGGAGCAGGCAGCAGCAACCTGGGTAGACGCAGCCACCTGAAGGGGCGCCCAGCCGGGGGGGTCACGGTGTCCAAAGTGAATAGGCCGGGCACCGGTCCAGGGGGAACGTGGACAGGGGGGGCACCAGTGGCGGCCTCGGTACAGACAGCATACCGCTCGTGACCAGGGAACGTAGTGGTGACGCCAAGGTCCTGGAGGCAGCCGACACCAACTAGGTTCCTGGAGAACGAGGGGATATGCAGACCTGTAAGAGAGCCCGAAAGAACCGCCGGACAGGGAAGGGTGGTGGAACTGCGGGCGACTACCGGACCGCCGGAGGGGTCAGCTAGGGAAACGGCAGCAGGAACAGGAAGCGGCGTCAGTGTAGTAGAGTCACGGAAGAAGCACCGAGAAGCGCCAGAGTCCAAGGTGAAGGAAAGCGAAGCAGTGGCGTCTGGCGGGTGCCCCAAAAACCAGACGTAAGCCCCGACACTTGCGCTTCGATTTTTGTCAGTTTTAAACGCATGTTCGCGCAACAACTGAATTGGGATCCGGCAAATGTTTTCACAGCGACCCAAAATTACAATTCCAATATTCTGCACATCAAAACGAAAACGGGTTGTGGGGGGGGGGGGTCGACCGTTTTGGGTAACGGGGGCATGCCATACATCGCGCGCAAAAAGGGTCGAAAAGTTTGAAACATTCTTGATTTTTGTCAAAGCGCGCGATTTCCTCCATCCCTTGGCTTGGCAATGCTCCCTGAATTTGCTGCTTTGATTTCACACGGCCTTCCTTACCTGTTTGTTACATCACAGACTAGTACGGTTCCGTCAGGCTGCCCATTAGGCGTTTAGGTGGCGGCGTTTCTATTTTCGCCGACTTGGTCGTGCTTTGTCGCAGGCCACTCACGGCGATTTGTGGTCAGATCAAAGCGATTTCCTACATTCGAATATACTGAGCTAGACGCTTGCTCGGATGACCGTTAGCCGTTAGTTCGCACGACTGCGAGTCGTCAATTCTTGGTGGAATCTGTCTGCCGCGTCGTCAGCTTAGCCTGTCGCCAGGAGTCGTCGTGTGCTGGCTTCCGTTTCGGATACCATGGCATAATTGGTGCCGATACCAGATCCCTGATACCGTCGCCAGCGCCTGATTAGGACCCAATGCATGCTGTTGACCACAAGTAGAGCTCGTGCGCCGATCAGAGCAGGCTTCAGTGATACACGACTTGAGCAGGCTCGTGCTCCGATTAAGTGAGTTTCGTGAACAGGATTGGTCTTCAGAATTGACACAGTAGTTCACAGGATCCTACGGCGACCGCAAAGTGAACAGGATCGGCCGCTGACGGCAAGTTGCTGCTACAGCCGACGCAGCCAGGAACTTGCAGCCAGGTGGCTGCAACCTGCAGCCTGCAGCCAGGTCTCTTATGCGGTTGCTCGCAGGATCCTACGGCGACCGCACAGTGAACAGGATCGGCCGCTGACGCCAAGTTGCTGCTACAGCCGACGCAGCCAGGGGGCTGCAGACACCTGCTCCAGGTCTCTTGTGGGGTGATTTTCTCTTAAGAGAAGCAGGTGGCTTTCGAGTCGAGCCGCCAAAAGCACCCGAAGGAAGCGCCCTTTCATTCAGCAAGCAGCCCTTTGCGGAATGGCGAACGCTCTGGAGGATCTCGACAAAGCCCTCGAGGTAACTTCGGCTCGGCGCGCTGCTCTCTTCCTTGAGTCAGTTCAAAAGCCCTCGGCCATTTTAATGTCTTTTTCCTCTAGTTTTCTAGTGCGAAATGGCGAACGCCCAGGAGGATCTGCCTTTCAAGTGATAAGCTCGGCGCGCTGCTGTCTCTGCTGTGATAGTCTGTACATTGGCTCGGCGCGCTGTGCTGCTTTCGAGACGTCAATTTCTAGGGTGGCCTGTGTGTCGTTGAGCCATATACAAAGATTTCCTAATATTGGTAAGAAAGGTCCTGCTCTTGTGATCAGTTTCATGAATTAGCATCTGTGGTGGATGCAAATCTCGAGAAGAATCTTGATTATTATCTAGGTCTATCTTCTGTGTGTTTTCTTCCGCCTCTTCTTCAGACCAGCTCCCAAGTGCACGTGTCAGGCCTGCACTGCAAGAGGAGTCTATTTATTGGCGCGCCTCAAAAATAGACTCTGCACGTGTCATGTCAGCGCTGCACTGCACCGCTCCATTGACCAGCCTCCTGCTGCCTCGTCTTCCCACAAATCAGGCCTGATTTCTCACTTAAAAAGCCACTCTCGTTCCCTTGCCTCCCTTCCTCCAGACCAGCTCCCAGGTGCACGTCTCAGGCCTGCATCCCTCCATCGACAAACCCCTGCTTCCTCCGCTCTTCCCATTCCGCCGTCCGCCCGCCCTCCGCTGCCTCCGCCTTCCTTCTCCCCCTCCCCTTCCAGCTCCCCGCCCTCCCTCCGCCCCTGTCGTCTCCTCCTCCTCCTCTGCCTCCGCCTCGCACTCCTCTGTCCTCAACTCTGCTTCCTTCTCTCTCGACCGCTCGTCATTGACGACGCTGATTGGAGCACATGGCAGGGAGCCGTTCCTCATTGGTGAGTGACCCTCTTCGCCTCCGACGCCCCCTCCGCTTTCCCCTCCCTCTCCTCTGTCCTCCCCTGCGCGTCGTTTTCTCTTTACCTTTCCACGTTGCCTACTCTGATTGGTGCACGTGGCAGGGAGCCCTTCCTAATTGGTGGGTGACCCCCTTTCTATGAAGCCCCCCCCCTTTCCCACAGGTGTTTTATGCACAGATCATTCAGCAGCTGCTGCTCTTCTTCCTACATACCCCTCCTGCCTGCACCCCCCTCATCCCCTCTCAAACCTCCCCCCCCCCCCGCGTCCCACCCCCCTCACCCACCTGCCAAGTCAGAAGTCGGCGTATGGGGAGCAGCCTCGGCTCTAAAAGTCTTTTGTTCGCTCCTCTTCCTTCCCGAGGTTGTCTGGCGAAACAGCCTCGGTCAAGTCCATGGTGTGCAAGCAGATCATTCAGCAGCTATGGCTGTTGTTTTCCTTTCACCCCCGCCCCTCCCACCCCCTTCCAGGCTCTTCACCCCTCTTACTCCAGGAGTGTCAGGAGGAGCAGCCTTGGGCAAGGCCACGCTGCGTTAGCAGATGGTTCAGCAGATACTGCTCTTCCTCCGCCACCCTCTCCCCTCTCCCCTCCCCTTCCCCCCTCCCCCCATCCCCTCCTTCCCTCATGCTCCACGAGTGTCGGGAGGAACAGCCTCGGGAAGGACCACGGTGTGCGAGGAGATCATTCAGCAGCTGCTGCTTTGCCACCCTCTGTCCGCCCCTCCTCCTTTCCCTCCCAGGAGTGTCGGGAGGAACAGCATCCGGCAAGACCACGGTGTGCGAGCAGATCATTCAGCAGCTGCACGATCATCGAGTGGTGCTGGTGAATCAGGTGAGATGGAGTGCGGTGCGGTGCCATGTGGTGCAGCAGTGAGTTGGAATATGGTACGGTGCAATGTGGTTCAGTGCTGCGGAGGTGGGACTGTTGAGTCGGTCGTTCAATCAGCGCCGTCGAGTGGTGCTGGTGCACCACGTGAGAAAGTAAAGGAGTCTAGTGTGGTGCAACGTGGTGCAGCTATGTGGAGGTAACTGCTGCAGCCATTCTTTCATCCAGCAGCTGCACGGCACCATAGAGTGGTGCTGGTGCACCAGGTGAGATGGAGTGCAGTGCGGTGCACTGTGGTGCAGTGATGTGGAGGTGGCTGTTTACTCGACTCAGCAGTCATTCATCCAGCAGCTGCACGGCACCATAGAGTGGTGCTGGTGCACCAGGTGAGTGCAGTGCAGTGCAATATGGTGCACGAGGTGAGGTGGAGTGTGGTGGTGTGCTGTGGTATGGTGGTGCAAGCAATGTGGTGCTGATGCACCAGCCATGCAACAGTACGGCGCGGTACCTCATTCCATGTATGGCTGTGCTTTAAAGCCGCGGTACACATTCCTTGAAATCTTATCAAATTATTAACATTTGAATCTGAATTAAAGCGTAACTTTGCCCTTGGAGCATTGGACCTCGCCAGCCTTGGAAAACATTCGGCGAGCCAAATGTGGGATTTGTGTACTCCAAATCCCCCATTCGCCCAGGGCCACTGTGTACCCCCACCTCGCAATTTTGTTTCCCCCCTCCCCTGCATTTTCGTTTTCCCCGCCCCGTACTTTCGTTCCCCGCACGTCCCGGAATTTCGTTCACCCCTCCCGGCATTTTCGTTTCCCCCGCGCCCCTTCGTTTTTCCCCGCCCGCAATTCCGAATGTTTACACATTCGCCCCCCACTGCTATGTAGATTTCGTCCCCTCCCCCCAATCACAGCTTCATTTCCCGACCGCCCTTGTCTTTTTCCCGCGACAGAATCGATACTACCACCCCTTTCCCTCCGCAATTTCGTCTGTTTACACATTCGTCCCCCCGATTTCCGCGCGCCCTCCCGCCCGTTTCGTTCCCCTTCTTAGAATGTTTACAAACCTTCTGGATGTGACGAAATGCACGACGCGACGAACCAGAAATACCTTTTCGGGGCAGTCCACCTTTCGTCAGACTCGTTAACCAATCCCTGCGACCCAACCCGATCCGCCACTGTTCACTCTCTGGCATTTAGGGGAATGTGTACCGCGGCTTTAAAGGCTCCATGCCGTCTCATGCCAACCCATGCCATGCCATGCCATGCCATGCCATTAGAAATGGACGATGCCTATCCGTGCAATTTCCTTCTTTAGTCCTTCGTGACATGCCATGACATGACATGCCATGACATGACATGACATGCCATGCCATGACATGACATGACATGACACCCTCCATGCATGCTGTACCGCCATGCTAGAACACCACTTAGGTGCCATGACTTTACGTGGCAGCGACTTGAAATGCTTAGAGTAGCAAAAAACTTGCTTGCTTGTAAAAAATCCTTTGCATAAAATCCTCCCAACTTCTTCTTTAGTCCGTGACATGACACCCTCCATGCATGCTGTACCGCCATTTTGCTGGCAGGACTCCTTCTACCGTGGATTGACTGACGAGGAGCTCAAGCATGTCAGCGACTTCAACTTCGATCATCCTGGTAACCACAGCTCCGTTTGGTAACCACTGGGTACTGTGCTGGTAGGTAACCACTTTCCACTGCGGGTTAACTGACGAGACGCTCAAGCATGTCAGTGACTTCAACTTCGACCATCCTGGTAACCACAGCTCGGTCTGGTAACCGATGCAGCGTATATGTTACCACAGTACGTCGTTGTGCTGGTAACCACAAATCCGTCTACCGCGAGTTGACGGAGGAGCTCCAGGATGTCAACGACTTCAATTTCTATAATCCTGGTAACCAGAATGAATGATATGACGCAAATAAAAAGTGCAGGTAACTACACTTAATGGATTGTTTTGTTAACCCTAATAGGTGGTCAGATGATTGTCACAGTGCATCGCATATTGCTCTGTTGACCACAACTCTATTTTTATAATTCTACCACTCTCAGGAGCCAGAGAGCATCCCAGTCTCCCTCCTTGACACCCTTGCTCTGTGAGACGCCCTTTGACGCTGAAGCCCTGCTGCCACCCTCACTGCCAGCTATCGTAGGTGACTTTTGAGTCGACTCAAAAGTCACCTAAGCAGTTGATGGTGATTCCCGTTGCTCCCTCTCTCTGCCCTCCGCTCTGCTCCTGCTGCTTTTTCTGAGGCGCCTCAAAGCTCACTGCCAGCTATCTGAAGCAGTTGATGGTGTTTCCCGCTGCTCCCTCCCTCTGCCCTCCGCTCCGCTCCTGCTGCTTTTCCCCTTCTCCCTTTCACCCCCTCAGGCTCCTTTGACACAGAGGCCCTTCTCTCCACCATCAGTGTTCACAAGGAGGGGCGGTTGGTAGAGATCCCCATACCCCTTTTGAGGCGCCTCAAAAGTGATCCCCTTTCTCCCTCGCTCCCCTCCCCGTCGCCTCTCCTTCTCCCCCCCTCTCTCGCCAGACGCCTTTGACACAGAGGCCCTCCTTTCGACGATAATCGCTCTGAAGGAGGGGCGGTCGGTGGAGATCCCAGTGTACGACTTCAAGACGCACCAACGGTCCAAGACTGTGAGAAAGGTACGACGCACATGTGTCCCTCGACCCGAAACCCTAATTTCCCGTGTGTGACACAACTCGTAACACTCCCAAGGAGGGGCAGTCGGTGAAGGTTCCGGTCTGTGGCTCGAAGACACACTAACTTACGTTCATGCTGCTTCCTCTTCCCTTCCCCCCTGTATAGACTAACCCCGCCCTGCGGATGTCATCATTCTAAAGGCCGTTCTGGTGTTTCACAACTCGAGGGTGCGAGCTCTTATCCACTTGAAGATATTCATGCAGCCAGATGCACATGCGGCTTACCCCCCCCAACCCTGCTGACATCACGGTGCTTGAGTTGAAGGCATTCTGGTGCTCCATGTCCCAAGGGTGCGCTCAACTCAAGCCTGATGATGCCACGATGATGTGCCCCAAGGGTGCGAGCCCACTTTTGAGTCGACTCAAAAGCCAAGGGTGCGCTCAACTCAAGCATGATGATGCCGCGATGATGTCGCAATGATGTGCCCCAAGGTTGCGAGCCCTCTTTTGAGTGGACTCAAAAGCCAAGGGTGCGCTCAACTCAAGCCTGATGATGCCGCGATGATGTCGCAATGATGTGCCCCAAGGTTGCGAGCCCACTTTTGAGTCGACTCAAAAGCCAAGGGTGCGCTCAACTCAAGCCTGATGATGCCGCGATGATGTCGCAATGATGTGCCCCAAGGTTGCGAGCCCACTTTTGAGTCGACTCAAAAGCCAAGGGTGCGCTCAACTCAAGCCTGATGATGCCGCGATGATGTCGCAATGATGTGCCCCAAGGTTGCGAGCCCACTTTTGAGTCGACTCAAAAGCCAAGGGTGCGCTCAACTCAAGCCTGATGATGCCGCGATGATGTGCCCCAAGGGTGTGCGCCCTGATGAACATGACGATATTCGTGGACACAGATGCCGACGTGCACACATGAATATGCTGTGTACTCACACCCCCACCCCTGCCCCCTCCCCCACCCCCCCCCCCCTCTCCGCCCTCTCCCCCCAACAGACCAACCCTGCTGATGTCATCGTGCTGGAGGGCATCCTGGCATTCCACGACTCAAGGGTGCGGTGCGGGCGCTGATGCACATGAAGATCTTTGTGGACACAGATGCACACGTGGTGCTTCCCCCCCCCTCCCCTCCCTTAACAGACTAACCCTGCTGACGTCATCGTGCTGGAGGGTATACTGGTGTTCCACGACTCAAGGGTGCGGGCTTTGATGAACATGAAGATATTCGTGGATACAGATGCCGACGTGCGATTGGCCAGGAGGATCCGCAGAGATACGCTGGAGAGAGGGCGAGACGTGCAAGGGGTGATTGATCAGGTGTGATTCTAACCAGGGGTGATTCTAGCCAGGGGTGATTTTAAGCACGGGTGATGGAGCCTGGGGGGGAGAGGATGGTGCAGGTGTGATTGCAACGAGGAGTTATGGTGATGGTGCGACCATAATGAAGCATGGCAGTGCAGGGGTGGTTATAACGAGGGGCGATAGAGCTTGTGTGATTATAATGAGGAGCGACAGTGCAGGTGTGGTTATATGTAGGAGTGATAGAGCTGGTGTGATTATAACAAGGAGAGATAGAGCAGGCTGCCCTCCATGCCCTCTTTATCAGCCGACTCCCCTCTGCCCTCTTACATCCCATCCCACCCTCTCCTCCACTCCCCCCTCCCCACAATACGCTCGCTTTGTCCAACCTGCCTATGAATCCCATAATTTCATGCTGCCCTCAAAGAGGTACGATCAACAGCCACAAGGCAGTGAAACCGGATCGTGCTGCACATAGGCTCTAAGTTGGGGCAGCACGACCTGGGGAGGGACGATCTCTGTCAGCCGAGGGATCAGTTGTCATGGAAGAGTAGCAGCAGCGTAGGAAGGTCGCGTCAGCAAAAAAAATGACAGTTAGAAAAAAACTGACAGCACGACCTGGGGACAATCTCTGCCAGCCCTGCAGTGCACTCTTGTGCCCTTTCCTCCCAATCCCTCCCTTCCTCCCTCCATCCTCCAGTACGCTCGCTTTGTCAAGCCTGCTTTCAACGACTTCGGTTTACCGACCAAGAAACATGCGGAATCATCATCCCAAGGGGGGATAATCACGTGGCAGTGAACCTGATAGAGTGTGAGGAGTCTATTTTTGAGGCGCCTAAAAAATATGAACCTGATAGAGTGCACCTGAGAGTGCAGCACATAGGCTCCAAGCTCCCCTCTCTGTTCGTTTCTTGTTGCATCCCTCCATTTTCCAGTATGCCCGTTTTGTGAAGCCAGCCTTTGACGATTTCGTGCTTCCCACCAAGAAATATGCTGACATCATCATCCCCAGGGGAGGAGATAACCACGTGGCAGTGAACCTGATAGTGCAGCATATAGGCTCCAAGCTGGGGCAGCATGATCTCAGGAAGATCTACAGCAACGTACACGTTATAGAGTCAACCTTCCAGGTACGTGTTCTATGAACACATGTAGCGGTATACAGTGAGCGTTTCGGTCGACTTGCTTCTTTGCACAATGCACGTGCATGCTACAGAGGCGACATTCCAGGTATGCACACTGCATAAACTTCCAGGTATGCGCACTGCATAAACTTCCAGGTATGCACACTGCATAAACTTCCAGGTATGCACACTGCATAAACTTCCAGGTATGCACACTGCATAAACTTCCAGGTATGCACACTGCATAAACTTCCAGGTATGCACACTGCATAAACTCCAGGTATGCACACTGCATAAACTTCCAGGTATGCACACTGCATAAACTTCCAGGTATGCACACTGCATAAACTTCCAGGTATGCACACTGCATAAACTTCCAGGTATGCACACTGCATAAACTTCCAGGTATGCACACTGCATAAACTTCCAGGTGCGCACTGTATAGTAAACGTTTTTGTGGACCCGTTTCTTGTGCATGTGGCCAGGTATGCACAATGCACAAAATTGCATGCATGTCCATGCTTGCTTGTGAATGGATCTTCTCTCTGTGCGCATTTGCCCCTCTCTGTGCCCATTAGCTGGTTCTTTCATTCCCTCCAGTTGCCCCTCTCGGAGTATCAAATCAGCAGCAGCCCCTCACATGTCCATTCGCAGCAGAGGGACTCTGTGTGCATGTAAAGTACAGCTGGTAGAATCAGCTATTTTCAAGAACCAGCTATTTAAAAAACCAGCTATTCCCTCAAAATGAGTTATTTTAGAAAACCAGACATTCTCCAAAATCAGCTGTTTCCAGAAAACGGCCTTTTTTTCTAAATGTAAGCATGTGTGATGACTTTTGAGTCGACTCAAATGTTACCTCGTGTGCATGTACACGCTGATGTCTTTTTTTCTAAATGTAAGCATGTGTGGTGACTTTTGAGTCGACTCAAATGTTACCTCGTGTGCATGTACACGCTGATGTCTTTTTTTTCTAAATGTAAGCATGTGTGGTGACTTTTGAGTCGACTCAAATGTTACCTCATGTGCATGTACCGTGCCTCTGTCTTCGTTTTTCCCCTTTCCCCGTTGTTGCTGTCAGGTCCGTGGCATGCACACGCTGATTCGCAACAGGGACACCAAGAAGCACAACTTTGTTTTCTATGCCGACCGCCTCATTCGCCTTGTACGTGCCTCTAATCCTCCTTCCCTTTCTCAAAGCTGCCTCGCTGCCCTACCCAAGTCACCAAGGAACACAGCTTTGTTGTCTTCTGTGCCGCCGACCGCCTCATTCGCCTCGTACGTGCTGGAATTAAGTGACCTCAGAAGTCCCTTCCTTGCTGCCCCATGTCGAGAACTTGCTGCCCCTTGCTGCGCAAATCACAGCGTTGCCTCTCACATGAAATCCGATCTCGCAGCACGCAACGCGATTTTTTAGTCGACTCAAAAATCCCACCATTGCCTCTCACATGAAATCGCGGCACGCAACACTGTCTTTCAATGTTGCCTTTCGCGCTGATGTCATGCAAGTAGTGCATCAGCCTCTCCACATCCTTTCACCTTCCGTTTTTTAGTCAACCTTTCGCGCTGATGTCATGCCTTTTGAGTCGACTCAAAAGTCACCATGTCAAAGCACTACCTCCGTTGTTTTCTCCATCCCATTTCGCCTTGTCCCTTCATTCGATCCTTGTCACTTCCAATCATCGCTATCAGCTGGTGGAGCATGGCATGGGCCACCTCCCCTTCAGGTGATTTTTGAGTCGACTCAAAAATCATTTCGCCTCGTCCCTTCATTCGATCCTTGTCACTTCCAATCATCGCTATCAGCTGGTGGAGCATGGCTTGGGCCACCTCCCCTTCACTAGTTGGTCAAGTGTCCTCCATTTCCTTAATCTTTATCATCCATTCTCCTCTCTTGCTCCTTATCTCCCCACCATCGCTATCAGCTGGTGGAGCATGGCTTGGGCCACCTCCCCTTCACTGAGATTCAAGTCACCACTCCCACTGGTATGTATGCACCACTCTCATGGACCAGTACTTCAGGGTTTTGTTAGGCGCCTCAAAAATCCTCTCGTGGACCAGTACTTCAGGGTATTTTTTAGGTGCCTCAAAAGTCCACTCTTGTGGACCAGTACTTCAGAGATTGGGGCTCTTTCTCGCCCCAATCCCTGTTTCGTCCCCTCCCCTCCATCCAGTATATACGGAGGCTTCAACGCCATTGGTTGGTGTATCCCTCGCAGACCCCGTGCACTCCACATACACCTCGATTACGAAATTGATGCCCAAAAACGGCCCCCCATGTCCTCTCCTCATCTCTTCTTCCAACCCCCCCCCCCCCTCCCCCGCACACACACTCGTTCTTGCTAGGCTCCACATACGTGGGGATCAATTTCAGCAAGAAGCTTTGTGGGGTCTCCATAATCCGAAGGTAATTGGTGTGATTTCCCATTATCCGCCCTGAATGTGCACGTGTCAGCTTGGGCACGTGTCAGCTTGGGCACGTGTCAGCTTGGGCACGTGTCAGCTTGGGCACGTGTCAGCTTGTGCACGTGTCAGCTTGTGCACATGTCAGCTTGGGCACGTGTCAGCTTGTGCACGTGTCAGCTTGGGCACGTGTCAGCTTGTGCACGTGTCAGCTTGTGGACGTGTATCTTCACATCCCTATCTACTTTCCATGTGCATGTTTCTGTGCACGTTCATCGACGCCCATCTTCCTGCATCCCGCCTTGTGTGCCCCTTGTTGCCATGGCAGTGGCGAGCGCATGGAGAATGCTTGGAGGGTGTGCTGCATGGGATGGGAGTGTGCCGACACGATCCCCATGCATCCGTTTGCACTCATCTACGTCCATGTGTCTGTACCCCTCGCTCGTTGTATGCCCCTCTTTTTTTGGCAGTGGCGAGAGCATGGAGAATGCGCTCAGGGCGTGCTGCAAGGGAGTGAAGATTGGCAAGATACTCATCCACAGGGAGGGCGACTACGGCAAGCAGGTGAGAATTTACTTCAGAACCCTGTGCGATCCCTGCGCGTATGTGTACAAGCAT